AAAGATTTCATAAATAAGCAGATGTTCATATTCAATAAAAAACCTGCTTCTGGTTTTATAAGTCCCCATCTAGATAAATGAGCGTCTGCTCAGTCACTAAACTAGAAACCTGGAAGTGATCCTACATCCTTTCCTTAGCCTCTGCAACTGAGGTTTCTCAACCACCGTACTAATGACATTTAAGGCTGGATAATTCTTTGCAGTGGGAGCAGTCCTGTGCAGTATAAATGTTTAGCAGCATCGCTGGCTTGTAGCTGCTAGAACCTAGTAGCCAAGTCCTCCATCTCCATCAAACTGTGATAACCAACTCTATCTCCAGACATTGCCAAATGTCCCCTGGGGAGGGAGGAAGTCACCCCCAATGGAGAACTTCACCCTTCAGTCCTATAGATTCAACCATTGCAATATTTATCCCCTCTAATCCATTTTCTTTCCATTAATTTTATTAAATTCCACACCATTTTTTGTGTCTGGATTTCTCCAATTGATTCCTGTCTGGCTGCGGCAAGTTGGCTGACCCAACAGTTAACTCCTGACTCAAATCTTCACTGTCTTCCTTCTGCTAAAGAAAAGTGAAATACTTGTTTTTCAGCCTCCCTTGCAGGGTCAGGTGGCACCATTTTGCATGGCAAATCAGGTGAAGAGGGTGACAGTTGAACTTAAAGGTTCCAAGGCTTTGGAATTATCCAGCCTTGGATGGTATCTCTGTCTCGTCATTCTGAAAGTTGTGTAGCTTTAGGAAAGTTATTTAAATTCTCTGTGCTTTGTCAGTAACACTGGCATAATAACATTACTGACCTTATAGGATTATTGTGAAGATTAAAGAGTTAATATTTATGAAGTGCTTAGTACTATACCTGGCAGACCATAAACACTGGATAAATGGTGGCTATGAATGGGAATGGCAGTGATGGGATAATACCTCTTTTCCTTGCTAATCACAAAGGTGACTATTACACATCCTATCATAGACCACTGATCACTCTGGAAGGCACAGTTTAGGGGAGATTGCCTCTTGAAGTTTTCTCACACTGTTCCTTCCACATTTATAAGCCCCTTTTCAGGTGTTACTTGTTTTTCTCCCTCACGTGGCTCTGAATGTCTGCCTACAAGGCAAGGACCAGATCTTTCTACTCTCTATATCTTCCCAGATCACAAGTGCTCGCTATACTCAGTAAAGGTCTATTGATTAAATCAATAAGTGAATTAACATGATTAATTCACTTATTGATTTAAGTGATTTAAGTGGGAGGGCCTTGCAAACAACATCCCTCCCACTTAGCAGCACATGCAGAGGGTGGATCTTTCAAAAGCTTTGGATATAACTAAGGCCAATAAAACACGTATCAGCCAGGTGAGTTTTTAAAAGGAAATTTATCTTTGGCCTCACAACTCTAGCTAACTTTTAAGTAAATTGAAGCTATGGACCCAATTATTCTTAGGGTAAAGAGAAAAGTTATGTGGGTGACTCCAAACATTCCAGATAGATTTTAAATGGGGGACATTTGCAATCCTGACAATAAAAATCTTCTTCTTAATAAATTTGTCTAAATTTGCACAGGAGAGTGGCAATGGAAAGTGCCAGTTTTAACACTCAGTTGACAGAGACACTTTCCAAAATTAAGAGCTCTAAAGGTTGAAAAGTCAAACACTTTTCCAATCTGTCCAGTCTCTATTTAGCAGGCAGTTAATAATGGAAATATAATCATAAGATGACCAGATTGTCCCGATTTCTAACAATTTTTCCCATGTCCCGGGGTGTTTTAATAAAGTCTCGATTTTTGGAAAGAATCTTTTCAATCTTTCCAAAAATCGGGACTTTTTTAAAACACCTCGGGACATGGGAAAAATTGTTAGAAATCGAGGTTGTAACTCTAATCATCAGTAATTCAGTGCTCCCATGCATGTCTCTCTGTGGAGGAGAACCCAACCATGTTTGCTTAGGAGAATTTGGTGGTGGCTTTTCTTCCCAGGTTTTGGACCCAACCATCTACCATTTGCCACTTAACCAATTCCAACTAAGATCCTGTTCTTTAGATCAAGATTTGTTAGATCATCTCTTCTGGAGTGATTCCAAAATCAATTTTTTTTTTTTAAATGGAGGAACATTTTTATATTGCTAAGTACTTAAAAATATTCTGTATTTTTGAGTGCTTGGGTAGGATCTCTCTTGGAAGAGTCCTTCATGTAAGCATACTCCATCCCAATTATTCCTGAGCTGGCTCCTATGGGGCTGAAGGCAGAGATGAAACTACCTCACATCCACAGACAATTCATTCTGTAAGCCCAGGGACACCTGTGTGATAGAACTGGAGCAGGGCACACAGGGTGGAAGGCTCCGATGCCTTTAGGGCCTGGCAGGCATGGTCAAGGGGTAAACAGGTTAAGGCCATTCATGTGTAAGAAAATGACCAGAGGAGTGTGAGAGGAGCAGCGGTGAAAGCACTTGAATTCAATTTGTAAAAAAAAACGCTAAGGTTCTTTTGGTTTTTGTTTTCCCCCCCACCATTTAGCATGGCCAACTGACCAATTTAATTATCTGCCTTCTTTTCCCAGATTCTTTGCAATGACAGTAAAGAAATAAAAAAAAAATAAAAAAAGGCAAGAAGCTATGAAGAAATCCTAAGAAGACACTGCCAGAGAACAATTTTAAGGCAAAGCTAGGAAAAACAACAGAAAGTAGAAGAAAGTAACTGAGTTCCAGTGGAGGAAGTTACCACCTTTGGAAGGTAGGGGTTGGGTGTGTAAACAATGAATGGTGGAAACCACCAGTATTTCCCTTCCCCACAGCCAGGACTCTGTGTGGCCTCAGCCTTCAAAGTGCCCCCTGTGAAACTTAACCGGAGAGGCCGCAGCTATAAGAGAATATTGGCACAGCTCAGATGGCCATGAGGGTGACAGTGACTTGAAAACAGCTGTTGGGTCTCAGTATAAACTCTAAAATCAAAGGTCCCTCCCTCTCTATCCCAATCCAGATCAATCAATCAAATCATTAAAAAGTAATGAAATGAAATACTGGCAACTGAGAAATTTCTTATACGGTCTCTTAAAAAAGTTATTTCCTTTACCCTTGTCAACCAATGGTCCTTGGTGCCAATTCAACACCAACTTACTCCCCAGTTTGAGGTGTGACAAAGAAGGAAACTTAATTCAATGCACACAACGCAACTGTGATACATACAGCACAGCTCTCAGAACAGCACTGCTTTGGAACAGTTCAATAGCGTTACAGCTCAGCCATGAAGCAGCATGGCTGTAAAACAGAAGGCTGTGCAGGCCTCGGGGTGAGGTCCCCCTCCAGCTACACAGCTCCCCTCGGCTCTGGCCAGACATCTTTGGCATTTCAGCTCCAGCCAGTGGAAAGTAATTCTTAGTGGAAAGGGAAAACAGACTCCTCAAGCCACAGGAGAGCTGACTTAGACAGATGCCCCCACCCCTGGTTCCTGATTGGTCTGTCTTCATGCAAAAGAGGTTTCCAAATCTTCTCAATTTGATTGGTCCAAAAGGCACTCTCCTGATTAGTCAGAATGGAGCCATTCTAATTGATCAGTGAAAATGCTGGGTGGGAACATAGCTGCACAGCTCTGATTGGACAGGGCATGCCTCAGTTTTATTGGTTGAAATACATTCCCAGGAACTCCTTTCTAAGGGTTGGCTCTGGTAGCAAGAACCCATTGCAGGCAGTGCTGACTTGCCCCTAATATAGGGGTGTCGAACTCAATCAGAGAAGGGGCCAAAATCTAAAATCCAGCCTAAATCACGGGCCGAATGGTTTACTGAACAGTCATAAACTGTCATTGTGATGGAAACGCAGCAGAGTGCAGTGATGACAGCGCGGTGTGGGCCACATTGCAAGGCCTGGCGGGACGGATTTGGCCCACGGGCCTTGTGTTTGACACATGTGCAGGGTGTGATTTTGGTGAGAGGCTCCTGTTTAGAATTGGCTGCTAAACTATTTTTGTTTTGTGTGTGTATATATATATATATATATATATATATATATATATATATATATATAATTTGATTTTTTATAGAGAGGAAGAGAGAGGGATAGAGAGTTAGAAACATCAATGAGAGAGAGTCATCGATCAGCCGCCTCCTGCACATCTCCTACTGGGGATTGCCCGCAACCAACGTACATGCCCTTGACGGGAATTGAACTCGGGACCCTTCAGTCCACAGGCCTACGCTCTATCCACTGAGCCAAACTGGTTTCAGCTTATTTTATATTTTTTAAAAATAAGCTAGACAACCAATGGACATAAAACTCTGGGGAGGGAGGGTATGTATGGGAGGAAGGGGGGCAAAAAAATCAATAAAATATATATTTTTAAAAATAAGCTAGAGCTCATCTAAGTTACTGAGAGTCCTTCTTAGTAGATGATTCTCCACCCCCCCCTCCCCCTCAGGGTTCACACCTTAAAACAAGGAGGGGCCACATTTAATATGCAAACAACCCACTCTTTAAAGGTAACTTTTCAAATGTGCTGCCACAGCAGTCTCAGCAACACTTGTGACTTGGAAAACTACTGCCCTTCTAGACACTGACAGCTCCGTGTGCTTTCCCGGGATGCCCCTTGGTTCCTGAAGTGGCATCACTGGAGAGCTAGAAGTCGCCCAACAGGTGGCACACGGATCCGCCACAGACCACAGGGGCTCCTTGCCGGCGCGCCCCAGGAGCTATTCCGGCTCCCAGAGCAGGGCCTCAGAGGGGGCCAAGCGCGCCCCGTCCACGCCGCCTCCACGCCCACCTCCTCCCAGCTAGCCGCCCCCGCCCCTCGCCAGAGCTCGGACTCTGGGGGCTGCCCTTATTGTTGGCCGCGTCTGTCACTTTGTGGGCCGGGTGACGTGAATGGATGAGCTGGACACACCTTCCAGCTTTCTTAAAAAAAAAAAAAAAAAAATCCCGTCCGGATCCCCATAGAAAGCGGGAGGGACGCGCCCGCCCCCCCCCCCCCCCAAACGTGGCCCCCCTCCGCGCCCCTGGAGCCCACACCGAGGGCCAGGAAAACGCACAGCCTCCCCCTCCCACGCTCACTCCTCCCCTCCTTTAAAGAAACGCCCGATCCAAATAAATAATACCGTCCCAAGTCCACCGCGTCCTCGGCGGCCTCTCCTCCTGCCTGCCTTCCCCGGGGTGCGCGAGCCGCAGGCGGGCGTGCGGCCGGCCCGGGGCGCCACCATGCTCCCCAGCGCCCTGGCGGCCCCCGCCGGCGCCTACTGGGACGTGGTGGCCTCCTCCGCGCTGCTCCACTGGCCCGCCGCGCCCGGCTTCGGCAGCCTGGGCAAGAGCTTCCTCATCGAGAACTTGCTGCGGGCCGGGGGCGCCCCGCCGCCGCCGGGGCTGCAGCCGCCCCCGCCCCACGGCCCCGGGGCCGCGCTGGCCACGGCCACGGCCACCGCCACGGCCACCGCCACGGCGGGCGCGCAGGTCCGGCCGCTGCCCGCCAGCCCGGTGCCCCTGAAGCTGTGCCCGGCGGCCGAGCCCGCCAGCCCCGGCGGCGGCGGGGCGCCCTATGGCACGCGGTGGGCGTTTCAGGTGCTCAGCCCCCCTGCGGACGGCGCCAGGCTGCCGGGCCGGGCCCCCGGGGACCGAGACGGCACCTTCCACCCTCCCGCCCCAGGTGAGTGCGGCGCCGGGGGGCCCGGGCCCGGCGGGGCGCAAAGCGCGAAGGGCGCTGCGATCCCCTGTGCGCCCGAACCCGCTCTGGCCCGGAACCTCCTAGCATCTCCCCTAGGGAACATCTCCCCTAGAACATCTCCCCTAGCCACTTTGGGGGTGATTGGAGGTAAGGAGAGGAACCACCACGCATTGTGATTCTTACCCCCTCCCTCCTCATCCCACGCCACCAGCTTCCACTCCCTCCTCTTCTTTCTGCAGCTTGTCGGGCTACCCGGACTTTCGGGCCTTTGGGAGAAACCCTGAAGGCACCCCGGGGTTAGCCCTGGGTCGCCGGGCTCCAGTTTCACGGGGATTCCCTAAGTTCAGTTAAGTTTTTGCCCGCCCGCTTCTTTCCTGGAGGCCGAGAAGACGCTCGCTGGAAGGTTCCTGGATGCGAGCGCTTCGCGTGGTGCGCGCTTTCGGGGGCATTTGCCACTTACATTGGTGGGACACTTTGGGGGCCTGCAAGAGCCTTAGCAAAGATCTGGGGAAGGAGCGTTGGGCAGAGTTTAGCTTTGACTCACTTTTAGTGAGGAAGTCAGGTCGACTTTTTCTTCGTGCTGAGTTTGAAACAATGAATTGGCACCTGGAGTAGGAAGTTCACCGATAAATGAAATCTTGCCAAAAGAAGGGCATTTTGGGTTTGTCTTTATTCCCGCATGAAACGTTAAGTGGTGTGAGTAGGAAGAAGGTGGACAATTTAGTCAACTATTTGCTAAAGCGTATGGAGGGGCTGCCGAAATTGGCAGTATAAGAGGGGAAAGCCTTTTTGAGACTCAGAAGCTGAATTAATTTTTTTTTTTGTCTCTGTCCTTAGACGATCTTAACTCATTCTTTTAATCCCTGTGGGTTTGTCCAGAATGACTAATAGATGCTTTTTCGGCAGATTGCATCGTCCCAGTAAACTGCCAGATCAAATTGATCGCTAATGACTTTATAGACATTAACTTGTTTAGAACCTGCCCTGGTCTTCCAGTTTGAAATGGTTGCTAAAGATCTCATTCACATCGTGTAAAAACCTAAATTCTAGGAGGCCTTTTTGCACTTTGGGAGAGAAACAAGTATAGTTAAGGCAAAGTTTATAAGCCTTGGAAATTTGGGTCACTTTGTTCTTTTTGAAGTAGTAGGAAAATTAGAAACATATAAAACATGTTCAGGTAGGCAAAGTCAGTAAATAATGTCTCATAAAAAGAGCATTTTCAAGAAAATGTAATAATTGCATAACTTTTGGTGGTTTGGCATTATGTTCATAAAAGTTATTTTCCAAGGACCTTTATATTGCTCCTGATGATGATTTGCTACTCAGCAATGGAAAAGTACTTAATTTTAACCTTTGTAGATTTTATAGATTAAATTTAAATAGACCAAATGCTAATCAAATGCAGGTATGTCAATAACTCTGAAAAATAGCTTTATATGCCCTTTTTGTTTCATTCAAAATATTGCAATTTATTGGGAAAAGGGTTTCCTAGCTACATTCTTTCAATTTTCAAGAACATATTCATTCTTGTATGCTTTTAAAAGTGTCAAAATGCAAAAATAATTTTTGGAATAATTAAGAGCATAAGAATTTATATTTTCCTTTGAAGTATTCTAATGTAGTTTAAGCATATCTTTTTTCCTAATATTTTATCTAGTTCTCATTGAAGATTTTATGTTCTCTGAGGTTAATTTTCATTTGAACAAGTAATCTTTTATTTCCAAAAATTATTCTTGTAAAAAGTGCATTTAATTTTTGAAACTAGAAAAAATATCTCAAGAAGAAAGTTAAAGCCCTGTAAATTTGTGCCCACAAATGTGTTGCTTAAAAGGAGCATTTGTGTTCATTTATTTTCATAATTTGACAAAGGATATAGGTCTTTCTGTCTTTCTTTCTTTCTTTCTTTCTTTCTTTCTTTCTTTCTTTCTTTCTTTCTTTCTTTCTTTTAACATTGTCCAGTTTTATTTAAATGACAGATTCTGGCCTTATCAAATATTATAGGAATTATTTTATACTGTGTAGGATTATGGAGTCACAATGAGCACCAACAGTGTTACTTTGCACCTGAAAATTAGATGAGGATGAAAGTGATTATGTTCTGTAGAGAGTAGAGAGCACATAGAAAAACTACTGTTTTCAGAAAGAACAGTCTTTCTGAAGGCAGTGAGTTACCAGTTTTGATCCATTAGCCACTAACTTAGGAGTGGATTGCAAAATGCGATTTTTAATCATTTCAGCATATTGACTACTCATTTTTTCCTCAACCTTAATTTGTGGAGTTACCCATCTGAATGTTGAATAAGAAAACCAAGTTCTTTTTAAATGCATTGGTGAAATGCAATACTGTTTACCTATGGGATACATTTCTGCTTCATTATTTTTGTTACCCACTATTAATCATACCATCTATTTCATTCATTCAGCAAATACTGTCTTCCATGTGTCAGGCTCGTTCTAGGCATTGGGATAATCAGTGAACAAAACAGGTAACTGTCTGCCCTGTGAAGCTTTTACTCCATGTTCTTACTGCTTTATGGTTCACCAAGCATTTTTTTTTTTAATTGTTAGCTGCTTTAATCCTCACAAGAAGCCAATTATTTTTCTAGAATGATTACTTCACTTCCTAGTATTGTTTTGGTCTGAAGTATCAATTTAAACATCTGTGAACATGTGAAAAAAAAATTTCCCCAAACCTTCACATTCCCTAGATTAGTCTTTCACTGAACATGAGAAGCTAATGAGGGATAATGAGATAAGCAATTACATGTATCACAATAATAAATCAGTTGTGATTTTATATCTGAGCCTATAAAAGGAATGGGGTTAGGCTAAACAGTAATGCTGATTTATTTACAGTCATGGACAAAGGTGTAGCTGTCAGTGCCTTGTCTAAAAATTTGCAAGCCTGAGTATTTAGTGCAAGAGAAGGAATACGTAATAGCTATATGTTGCCAAGTTGTTCATATAGAGTAGTTTAAAAACTTTAAAAATCAAAGGACAGTCCTCAAGAGTTGAGAAGAACATATTTAGTACACTAGTAGGTAGCGAGAAGGGTCACCTCCAGGGGTTGGATCTGGGGAAAAACAAAAAAGTTTTGGATCTGTTATAGTTCATTAATGGACGCCAGGAGGGTTTGCAAGAAAATCCTAATTATCAGAAATTTATTAATGTTATTATTTGGTGAATCTTGTGCTAGACGAAAATATTCATCTTTTGCATATAAAAGATAGACTTGACATGTAAAAAGCTGAAAGATTTAAATTTATTTTGGTTATTCCACCAGCTATCTTCAAAAGAGAAAAAGTGGCCTTGCTTTTTAATAACATTTGTTATTTTAAGCATTTTAGAAAATGTTTGACATAAGATAATTCCTTAAATATAATTTATTCATTATTAAGCCTACTTCTTATGCTGTATATAAAAGAATTAAAAAGCAAATGTTTATTCTGGATAGGTGAACTGAACGGTTCTTTCCTTTTTTTCCCCCCCAAGCAATTTTGTTAAGTAAATTGTACTGTATCGTACAGAAATGGAGACAGGTGCCTAGTTTTTTTGTCTGGCGCCATTAGGATTGTTTCTTACTTGTGTTACTTAATGTGCACTCTAGTTTTTCCATACCCCCCCCCTCTCAGTTACTATTTATTAATCCTTGATTCTGTCTTAAACCTATGTTTTGTACTCCAGTTGGTAGTTATTCCACTTTCACTGAGATACATTGCAAGTGTGAAATGAAATAGCTTCTCTTACAGCTTAGGCTCTTGGGGAAGGAAGAAGATGGATTTGTGCTCCAAGTGGAGGTTCCAGTTCAAAGGAAAACTTATGATCTGATTATTTGAAGCAGAGCATGTCCCTTTTTTTTTTTTGTTAACATTGTTGTGCTATAGATTTGTTTTGACAAACTAAAATCATAGCATCGTGAATGTTGATAATGCTGACTTACGACAAATGCTCAGGTTACCATTCCAACCATTTTTTGTTGGAATTTGTAGATAATATTGAACTGTTTCTTACTACATCTGAATATTTCTGTAATCTGATTAACATATATTTGGAGTTATATTAACATATTAATAGTTTCTACATGGATTATGAAGTAAACTCCTTCAGGTTCAAGCAGGAGTTCTTACAGTGAAGAGAATCAGCATGGTTAATAATCCCTTTATGTCTGGTCCTGATTGAGTAAGCCACAGCCCTTACAGAATAATGTCTAAGTTGAAACTACAGCAGGGTAATTTATGAGCATTTAATTTGCCTCTGACTTTAGCACCTAGCCCTTTCCCAACCCCTAATCTATGCTTCTCTACCTCACCTGAACAACAAGGGATCTCAGTTTGTTCACATGTTTTGAAGCTACTGAGGTTTAATAATAAAACAGGAGTTTAATAATAAAACAGGAGTGAATCCAGAAGGCAAGTTTAAGAATGGTTTCAATGCCTAGAAAATTGCATATAAAATTATGCAGAAATAAATTTAGGATTCAGAGAGTTAAAGGTGACATGCAGGAGGCCAAAGGATGCCATATGTTGTGGTCAATTTATTGTAAAAGGCTTTGTCAGCAGTGATTTTATCTACATTTGTTTGCTGTAAATAAAGCTCAGATGTTGAAAGCAGAACTGTCTGTTGGACTCTGTTAAATTCCTTTATGTGCGTGTCACCTCCTTCCTGTTCTTGTTCCCAAGAAAAAGTTCTCTTTTTGCTCCAAGAAGACAGGTTATCGCTAGGTTTGCTGCTGAATAGTGATAGAAATGGTAGCAACTTGAAAGTAAGAGGGTAACATAGGTGTGTTCATATAATGCTTTGAGATTCTTTGCTATGAAAGTTTTAATAGAAGTGAAGGTTATCTTTAAAATACATAAGCAAATGTGCCCTATGTTAGGGTGAGAGGGGTGTAAATATTCATTAGCTCTCTATTCAACCTACTTTCCACCACCTGTTTCTGTTGTTGATATAGTCCATAATTTTGGAATCCTTCTTATTGTGTC